AATGATGCCATGTTTACAAGGATATTTTAGAAGCTGCACATTAAAAAAAAAAAAAAAAAACGTTTTGGAAATGGTGTTTTTTCTGAGACTAGGCCTTCATTGGACTCTGATGATCTCTAAACTTACTAAGCAGTTTTCTGCTTAGCATGACTCAGCAGTGGCATTTCAGTATATTTAAGTTTATACAGCTTTTTTTCTTTTTTGATGACACATGAGACGTGTTTTCTAGATTGAAGAGGATTTAAGTCTTTTCTACACACGATGAAGAACCTGTTCAGCTTTCTGAGTCAAACAATGCCATGTTTCAGAGTCCGTAATAACATTTCATAAATCATTTCAAACATATGTTTGTGTTCAAATAATAAAGCAAAAGCACAAATATATAACATTAAAATAAAAATAGTTCTACGTTTCTTATGACATGTCTGTCTGGTTCAAGTTGGGCTAAAAAAATCAAGGTAAGAAGTGAAATTGGAAGTCTGTGGGTCATTTACGATCAACACCCCTTCCTGTTAATCCAGTGTTGCACCTCCTTCCATCTGAGCTGACGCCAATAAAGTTTGTGATTTAGCTCTCAGGTGTCAGAAGAGCAGAGCACGGCTGTCCCGACGACTCCCGGATCTCTTCTTTCACGGTAATCTACAGGAAATATGTCCTCAGGTGAGAACATCTCAAACATACAGGTGTAAAATGAGCAGAAAGGAATTTACACGTGTGTTCTGCTAGTTTCTCCCAATTAAATTACAGCAAAGTAATGGATTATTTAGTGTAATATGTTTTTATCGTTTGCTTTTTTGTGTTAATTTGAGCAACTTTTATCAAAAAGTTTTATTTCTAGTGTTACTAATGCTTTAAATTCATAGTCTAATTGTTTTATTTTATTTTTTATTTTTTGTATTTTAATTAAAGGTGAACATTGCTATAAAAATCTCAAACATAATAGTGTCATGATACATACTACTTTCAAAAAGCTATTAGCCTTTCACTGATAGATGCAAAAAATGTTTAAACTAAATTCAAGTTTTTTGAATGTATTTATTTACAAAAGTAGCATTTTGATTTGGATAATATTTGATCTAAGTGTGAGTCATGACTGTTCAAACTGAAAGTCAGCCTTGACTTTAGAACAGACTGACAGGTTCAACAAGATGTTTGTTCTCTAACCAGATCCTCCTCTGATGTTTAGTATCACTGACCCACTTGTTCTCACCTGCATTCAGTGCACGACGGCAAAAATGCTTTGAGCTTTCCAATAAAAATAATATGACGTCTTTAATGTTGTTCATCATAACAGAATGAAAAACCAGATCACTCCCGTACAAAAAGGAATACCCTAAGCACAACATTTTATTTAGGTGAAGCAGTGCTGGCTGCTGTCAACGCTTGGTGGAGCTGAGTCGTCACAAACTGCTTGTTTCACACCAAGCATTTCATTTTTACTGTTAAATGTAACCACTTCTCAGAAATGCTCTGTTGTTTTTACAAATGTTGAGCACCAGTCAGCATAATTTTTAACTCACTTATCCATACATCTATTTTCTGACATGGTTGCTCCTGGTCTGGGTCAGTGGATCTGGTGCCCACCTCCAGAGGTCATTGGGCAAAGAGCGGGGTACACCCTGGACAGGACACCGGTCCATCACAAGGCCATAGACAAAAGTTCATGCTCTCACACAATGACTATTTAGAGCAGGGGCATCAAACTCAGTTACAAAAAGGAGGTGGTGGGGGGGGGGGGGGATAATTTTCAAACCATGGGCCAGTTTCAGTCCATAGATTAACTTCAGTCAGATACCCTGATGCATGCTCAATAATCCAGGTAGAAAAATCTAAAAAATGTCATTCTGGTCCTCTGGACATTAAATAAATAAATAAATAAAAATAAAAAAAATAAAAATTTAAACCCCAAAATACATTACGGCAAAGACTGGTTCATCCCAAAGATCCAGTCTCCCGACACAAACAGAGTAATGTTGTGTATGCTGTTCAGTGTCAGGAGGGCTGTGATCAGTCTTACATCGGGGAAACTAAACAGCCACTGGCCAAAAGGATGGACCAGCACAGAAGATCAACATCATCAGGCCAGGACTCTGTGGTCTACACTCATCTCCAGGCCAGCGGTCACTCTTTCAGGGATGAAGATGTTCACACCCTGGATAGAGAGGAACGATGGTTTGAGAGAGGAGTAAAGGAGGCCATCTTTGTGAAAAGAAATCGTCCATCATTAAACAGGGGTGGAGGCCTCTGGGTTCAACTGTCCCCCTCTTACAATGCTGTGATTGCTAGTATCACTCAGCCCTCTGTGAATAGTAAACAGCCATCAGTGTGCTAATGATCCATCGGCTGATGGTCCTTCTTGACCATGTGAGCAGCTGGTTTTGGTTGTCAGCAGCAAATTGGTTGATCCACTCTGAGAAGGTGCTATTTAAGAGACTGAGCTGAATACAGCACCTCAGACTGAGGTAGTCTCTCGGATGAGGGACGAAACGTTTCTACATTTTTTTATGTTTTAAAATTTTTTTTTTTTTTTTTAATTTTTAATTTTTTTTAAATGTCCAGAGGACCAGATTTGACTTTTTTTCAGTCAGATACCTGACATATTTTCTTACCATACCATTCCACAACATACCATACCATACCATACCACAACATGCCATACCATACCATACATGCCATACCATGCCATACCATATCATATCATACCATACCATACCATATCATACCACAACATGCCATACCATACCATACAT